CTCCCCCCAACCCTTCACTACCCAACATTTTCTCACAAACCAAACACCATCTCTCTCTCTCTGTACTCAGCAAGGTATCATCGACACAGACCAAGCAAAACTATTTACCTCTTCTACTTAAGATCCGTTGTTCAACATCATGAATTGGCTTTACGCTACTCGCTTATTCCCTTTCTCAGAATCGGTAATTTTACTTTTTCTCCCCCTATCGTGGATTTTTTTTCTTTTAAGTGATTTTTTTTTCCAGCTGACGTTCTTCTTCTTCGTTGATCTTTAGATGAATGTTTGCTCTCTTTGATTTTCGGGTCAGGGTGTTGACATTTTTGCTTGATCTGTGCATCTGATCCTGTTTGTAGGGTTTTCCAAGCTCTGTTCTGTTTGGCTGGCTATTGCGCTATGCTTGGATTGTCTTTTGATTTCTGTTTTTAAACTTCGCTCTCCTTTTTTTTTTTTAGAGCAATCAGATTGTTGGTAGAGGTCTAAGATTTTTTTTTTCTCTCTCTCTCTCTCTGGCTCTCTCTTTTAATTTCTTTTTTTTTCTCCCTGGAAATCTATCTGCTTTTTCTTTCTTGTTTTTCAATCCTACAATTTCGTTTTGTTAAGTCGCGGCTGGAAAATGATTCGCGTCTATGGTTAGGATGACTTGATTCTCAGAGAAGGAAATCTAAACTAATTTAGTATACTAGTTCAACTGCAACTTTTCAATACTCCTAAAAATTACTAGTTACATTACATTTAGCTCAATTAAGGTAGCCCTAGTTGAAATTTGGTAATTTCATATTGGGAACTTAGTTCTTTTTAGGCAAACAATTGTATACAAGATAACCTATTAAATAGCCGAAAAAACTGGATCCTTAGAGAGGTGGATGTGCTGAGTAAACTGTTATTTTTTTATTTGAACATTATTGGTTTCGTGGCAGGGGAATGTTTGGAAGAGTTTCAGTACATTATGTGTATTTACATTAATAAATGAAAACTGTCTTCGAGAATTTCTTTTGCTGTCTATGCTGATAAGTTTGTCATACATTAAGGTATCCATTTATTTAGAAGGTTAGTTTATTTATTGTTTAGTTCTTCAGTTATGCAGGCCTATGGAGTTCCCCTCTTGGCTGTAATACTCCTTTCTTTTTGTTTGCATTTGCACAATTTTGTTATCAGGCTGTTTGTCATGAAAATTTGCATGATCTATCTGATTGTGTTTAGCTGCAAATACTTATCATGGGGCAAACTAGTTAAAAGATTTTTGTTGGTTCTGCCAACTAGTTTTATAAGGCTTTGTAGTATTGTATGGTTGATTTCCCAAGTCAAATCATTGATATCTTCAAATGTTCTGCAGTTAACTCATTGATTTCCTCACTTGAATCGAAGAGATAATTTGGAAGTCGAACCGCTCTGTTATCTGTTGTGGGCTAATGGCGTCTGTAGGTGTGGCACCTGCTTCTGGTTTAAGAGAACCTAGTGGAAATACAACTGGTGTTGATAGGTTGCCTGATGAAATGAATGACATGAAAATAAGGGATGAAAAGGTAACAACATTGCTTTTTTATTGTTTCCTAACAAGTTCAGGATTCACATGTTTCTTCTGTTTCCCAATTGCCTGGCTGTTCATCTACTGAATGTTATACAGGAAATGGAAGCAACTGTTGTTGATGGTAATGGGACGGAGACAGGTCATATAATTGTCACTACCATTGGTGGTAAAAATGGACAACCAAAGCAGGTGATTTTTTTTTTCTATTACTGTCATCCATCAGCACAACTTTAGCTCTCTTCTTCATCAAACTTAATGGTGATATGATTTACCTTTAAATGATTGTAGACCATTAGCTATATGGCAGAGCGTGCCGTCGGACATGGATCTTTTGGAGTAGTTTTCCAGGAAGTCATTTAATATTTTATGAATGCTTATTTCATGGATGAGGTGGTTTGAATATTAAAGAGACTAGTAGACTTCTGAATTT